CCCGGGACTCTGGCGAGTGTTCAATATGTCTGGATGACATGGTTCAGGGGGACACCATCGCTCGACTGCCCTGTCTCTGTGTCTACCACAAAGGGTTTGAGAAACATTCACTATCACAGTCATACACACACACATACCTGCTGTCGTCTGTGGAAATCAGCTCATCTTCTGCTCCTCCAGGTGTATTGATGAATGGTTTGAGGTCAACAGGTCGTGTCCAGAACATCCCACAGATTCACATTAGAACAGGTCAGATGTTAGACACTTTTTACAAACAGTGGTTTCACATCACGTACAAATACCATGTTTGTTTGGATAACTATTTGATATGTTAGATAAACTATAAGATAAATATTTTATAATATGAAATAGACCTAGCATGATGACTGTATCCAACAATTAATAAAAAAAAAAAATTGGTTTCTGGTCCTATTTCACCCATGTACCTGATTCATACACTATTCCACACAGAACTGTGTATTTTTTTCCTATCTGCAGATATTTCCAGTAAAGCAGACCAGCCGAAAAGTGCTCAGCTAATAATTTCTCCAGGATCTGACTCGCTTTGACACTAGATGATGAATCCATCACAATCTGAGACTTATATGGACCTAAAACCTGCAAGCATGCGTATGCTTTGCTCAGTACTGTTAAACCCATGTTTACCCATGAAGCTCTTCAGAGATCAGATGGTGAACTACAGTATTACTGCTTCATGTCCAGAAACATAATGGTTTCATGACCAATGCCCAGATGGAAAACATTATCCCTAACAGAATATTGTTGAATTGTTTTTAAACAAAAGAAGAGTATTGTTTTTATAGAAAGGACATGAATATAGAGGAAGATGACTGACAGTGTCAGCAAAAGAAAGAACATCAAAGAGATGAAATTTTCTGTACACACATTTTTGAATTTTACATTTAGAAGCGAAAAGATGCACTTTTGAATGGTTTACTGATAGAATGTCTTTAAGGGCTGTTATTTTTTTCTGATATGCCTCTGTATATAAAATGGGTTCTAGTGACAAACAAAATAATACAAAATGCATAATAATAGAAATCATTCCTACGAGTTATCATTTGAAAGCATAAACCCATCCTTGTAAGTTAAAAGGTCTGTCCTGTTCTGCTTTGTGTTTTGGTGACCATCATTCTATCCAACACATCTTTAATATTAGGCATTTCTATACCATAACATTGTACGCTCATGCATAGAGCGTGGGCACCTGCTTCTTCCCATTATAGTCAAATCATGAAACAAATGTAAAATGTCTTAATAATACAAAATGCATAATAATAGAAATCATTCCTACGAGTTATCATTTGAAAGCATAAACCCATCCTTGTAAGTTAAAAGGTCTGTCCTGTTCTGCTTTGTGTTTTGGTGACCATCATTCTATCCAACACATCTTTAATATTAGGCATTTCTATACCATAACATTGTACTCTCATGCATAGAGCGTGGGCACCTGCTTCTTCCCATTATAGTCAAATCATGAAACAAATGTAAAATGTCTAAAGTTATTAAATGTCATATTCATTAAATATTTCAAGTATATTTAAAATCATTGAGTTTCTATTTTTTCAGTGATTTGAGGGAGTTTCATGTGTAAAAATATAAATTCAATGTTCTACTGCCTTTAAATCATAATTTTATGAAATGGATGGTATGAGCTGTTTTCTTTGCTTTCTTTCTCTAAACAGCATGAACAGAATGAAAGTGAAAGTAGAAATAGTTTTGCTTGCGCCATTTTGCGTTCCGACCCAATGAAAAATTCTCCAAATCGAAACTGCCTCAAATACTAATATAGTACTGTCTAAAAGTAATGTTTATTGTTTCATAAACAGGAATTCACGTGCTGTAAATGGAAAACCATGAACATATCTTTTCCCATCATTAATGTAATACTGAAACCAATCAAATTCTTGTAACAATCAGAAACTTTTAAGGAGGGAAAACAATTAATATAATATATATATATTCTTAAAAGTTTTTATTTGTTGATTTGGGCATTTCATTAGCAGTGAAGAAAGATGTGATATGATTCTCGAAATACGGGGTGTGTAGACTTTATACCCACTGTATGAATTCTTGTCTCTGTTCTGTTATCTCTATTTTATTATCTCTGTTCTGTTAAAGTCAAAACCAGAGGCAGAGATCAAACTTCCAGCTGTGTCCAGCTGTGTGTCCATTAAGAGTGACCGGTCTATGGACACCACCAGAATTTAAGGGAAGAAACACATCAAGTGATCTGAGGTACAGTACAGCATTTTTGTCTAGACAGACGGATAGATTTACTGAGTCTTTATGTGAAGTTTATGTAAGGAAAAATCCATGAATTTTAATGCACAACATGGAGGCAAATGACCAGAGTGGAGGGTGGCCCACTTAGTTGTAGATTATCCTGCTTATACCATGGTGACTTCATAGCATGGAAAAGCTAAAGCTTTCATTTGATGTTTGCAGTGCATAATTTGGAAAAATAAAATAACAGTTCATTTTTTCTATTTTATCTATGGTCGAACAATTTTAATGCACACCTTCCAGTCAATCAGAATCAAGTATTGAGGTAGACCATGGTATAATTGTGTAAAATTAATTAATTTCCTGTCTCTATTCTATATCTCCACTTTATTATGTTGTCTCTATTCTGTTGAAGTCAAGTTGGAGTCCAGCTGTGTGTCCATGCAGAGTGACCGGTCTATGGATGCGCCACCAGAATTTAAGGGAAGAAACACATCAAGTGATCTGAGGTACAATATTTCTGTCCAGATAGATGAACAGAAAGTCAGATAGATTCTCTATGTCAGATTCCAAAAGTAAAATCAGTTATATGAATTGTCTCTATTCTTTCCATGTCTGTTCATGACCAGTGACCTGCCTATGAACAAGTTTGTAACATTGATGGGAAGACACACGTCAACTATTTTGAGGTATGACATTTCTGTATAGATGGATATATATTACTTATACCTCTGTAATTTATGTTGTAAAGCTATTGTCTTAATCTTTCAGTCATGACTCTCAACTGGTCCAAAGCAAATTCAAATCAAATCTGCTGAAGAAGTTTCACTGTCTGTATGAAGGAATGGCAAAGCAGGGAAACCCAACACTCCTGAATGAGATCTACACAGAGCTCTACATCGCAGAGAGTGAAAGTGGAGAGATCAATAATGAGCACGAGGTGAGACAGATTGAGGCAAGGCAAGTTTATTTATATTTACATAAAAGAAAAGAAAAAAATAATCACAACAATAAAACAAGGAATTTAAAAACTTTGAAAATGATTAAACAATCCAGGAGAGCAGCAACAGAGGACACACCAATCAAATGCAGAGACATCTTTAGACCTTTACCTGGACAAGACAAAGCCAACAGAACTGTGCTGACAAAGGGAGTCGCTGGCATTGGGAAAACAGTCTCTGTGCAGAAGTTTATTGTGGACTGGGCTGAAGAGAAAGAGAACCAGGATATCCAGCTCATATTTCCACTTCCTTTCAGAGAGCTCAACGTGATGAAGAACAAAACACTCAGTCTTTCAGATCTTCTTCATATCTTTTTCCCTGAAACAAAACAAATATCCAGGGGAGAATATAAAGTGTTGTTCATCTTTGATGGTCTGGACGAGTGTCGTCTGTCTCTGGATTTTCAGAGCAATGTGAGGTTGTGTGATGTGAGTGAATCGGTCTCAGTGGACGTGCTGCTGACGAACCTCATTATGGGGAATCTGCTTCCCTCTGCTCTCATCTGGATCACCTTCAGACCAGCAGCAGCTGTTCTCATTCCCTCTGAGTGTGTCCATCGAGTGACAGAGGTACGAGGCTTCAATGATCCACAGAAGGAGGAATACTTCAGGAAGAGAATCAGTGATCAGAGTCTGGCCGATAGAATCATCTCACACCTGAAGTCATCAAGGAGCCTCCACATCATGTGCCACATCCCAGTGTTCTGCTGGATCTCAGCCACTGTTCTAGAGAAGATGTTGAGTGAAGCAGAGACTGGAGAGATTCCCAAGACTCTCACTCAAATGTACACACACTTCCTGATCATTCAGACCCACATCAAACATGAGAAGGACTATGAGAAGAAAGTTAAAGATGAAGACATGATTCTCAAACTGGGGAAACTGGCTTTTGAGCAGCTTGTAAAAGGCAACCTGATCTTCTATGAGGAAGACCTGAGAGAGTGTGGCATTGATGAGACAGAAGCATCAGTGTACTCAGGATTGTGCACTCAGGTCTTCAGAGAGGAGTTTGGCTTGAATCAGGGGAAAGTCTTCAGCTTTGTTCATCTGAGCATCCAGGAACATCTAGCAGCTCTATTTGCACACCTCTCCTTTACAAAGGACAACATCTGTGTGTTTGACCAAACCAAACAAAGTCTGCTGTCTAAGGTTTTAAACCACAAGAAATGTAATTTAATATCTGAGCTGCATCAGAGAGCATTGTGTTGCTGACATCAGAGCAGGAGATGGATGTTTTTAAACTAAAAAAATTTATTGGAGCTCAAAATACAGCAGATGAAGTTCTTCTGAAGCTGCTGCCTGTGGTTAAAGAATCCAGATCAGTTCAGTAAGTCACACTGACAACAATCACTACACTGATTAAACATGATCACATTTATCATTTTAGCATGTGCTTTCTTACCAAAGAAAGAAAACTGGTCATTTTTCACAAAATCTTATCACTGACAGTGAGCAGGAGAGTGTGTGAGACACACTTACTAAAGCAGCTGAGGTTGGTTTTTTTGTGTGTCTGTGTGAGAGCTGATGATTGTAGAGGTTAGTATGTGAGACATGATGAAGGGTTGAATGTGACCAGATCAAAACTGGCAGCCAACAGCAACAGTGTCTTTTTCTGTACATTGATGCTGTATAATTAGCATATAATGTTTATGTGTTTTGCATTCTCTATGAATTTTTTCACATTTGTTTACACATCTTATTCTTTATTTGCAGATGGTGTCAGTTCATCATTCATGTTCTTTACTCTCTACAGGTTGAGTGATTGTGGAGTCACAGGTGAAGGTTGTGCTGCTCTGACTTCAGCTCTGAGATCAATCCTCCCCTCACACCTGAGAGAACTGAATCTGACTGGAAATAAACTAGGAGACACAGATGTGAAGCTGCTCTCTGATCCGAAAGATGACCCATCTCATAAAATGAAGACGCTTAAGTGAGTAATGATGATTAAAAATTTTCATATTGTAATTGAAAGTTAATTTAGTTTATTTTTCCATTGAATGATTCATATACTATAGTGTTTAATGAGAGTCGGATTCTGTTTATAGTTATTTGTTTGATCTTTGGGTATTTAAATTATATTTTCTACTTTTCTAGTGCCTCAATGTTTGTGATAGAGAAGTTTTAGTTGGTTGCTTTTGATTATTATTAAGCATAAATGTTTAGTGGAAACCATATTTGAGCTTTAACCCTGTGTATTTTGAGCTTTTTAAATAAGAACTTTTTTCACATCCAGTCTTCTACATCTGTCCATTGCAATGGAGAATAATGGTAAATATGTATCACTGCTTGTTTTAAGGGTCAAGTGCTTACTGTTAAAGGTCATCCATGGTGGTTTGGATTTAACATCAAGGGTTTTTTGGACATTCTTTATCACAAAGTTATGTTATTATCTCTCTCTAATAAAGCAAAATTATAGCTCTAAAGTGGTAATGCGTAATGTGACACATTTGATTGTCTCTGTTTCACTTACAGGTTTTAGATGTTAGTCTGATCTTCTCTGGATCAGCTGATGGTGAATAAAGAGCCTCTACAGACAGACATCTGTAACGAATCAGCTCATGGGAAATATGAATAATTAATCATAACTAGTTATAATTAATTATGAATATTTTAGATCCGCTGTAGATATTTAGCTGACCTCTCGGGGTCAACTGTCTTGTCAATTCTAAGAACGTTAATTCCCTGGTTAAGGGAAATAACTTTCTTACTGTACAATTCTACAAAGAGTTTGTAGCCTAAATGTGCATGATTAAGGTCTCCAAAACGCTGCAGTAAAATGGTTTGATATGAGGTGTGCATATAGTATGGACGTCCCGTATAAGAAGTGACCATTGTTTTCTTCTACTTATTAGAAATTAGGTCTGTATAGCCTTCTAAAGTGTGATATTATCCTTTGAAAATTATAGTAATACAGAACAGTCAAAGACAACAATAAATTACACGAATATTAAAGCAGATGGGCAAAAAAAAATCCTAAAAAATGTCATCATATCTCAATTCTGGGCGTCTAGATGAAAAGCGCTCTGAAAGCGCCTTCCCTCTGTGTTGTTCCTGCGTTTACCGTATTTAGAGTAATACACGCGCACCATAATTTCACTCGCGGCTGGCTTGGCCGTGTTTTTCTGAAGTGCGACTGGTTTGACCGCAGTTCTGCACCTGAATGTAAACATTTTAGAAACATTTGACGATAATGTGCTTTTAAAAAGGTATCACCTTTGGTTTTGGAGGTTATCCCAACTCCAAATTGTCCTTTGATTATATACTTGTTTTCATTAACCAATTGGGCAAGAGGTAACAGCTGTTCTTGCGTCCAGTTTGGTTTTCTTTTTTGTTTGCATGTCTTATTATCAGCCATGATTATTCTACTCTGTTAATTAAAAGGCTGTTTATATGCATATTCACTTTCTTTTTTTTTTACGAGAAGCATACAGGTTGACAATTAGCTGAACATATACATATATATTAGATTTAAATTAAACAAGTATACATATATATTATATGGACATGACACCTAGGCTGCATTTTAAAATCTTTATTTGAATGTGGCAATTAACATTTTTATTTTTAAACCTTTGACTATGGCAACATAACAGTGCGCTCTGCAATATTTATATGAATAAAAACGTTTGCCAAAACATGGAATAATTCTGAAAATGTAGAGGTCAAGACTGGTTAAGTATTACTCTTTATTCCCTCTCATAACTAAGCTGTCTAGGGATGGAATGAGCTGGATGGCAAGCAAGTGAAAGTGAAAGTCTAGCCAGTTTTGGATGCGTCATTTTACACCTGAGCATAACTAGATCAGAAAAACCGAGAATCTACGTCTAGTAGCCGAATTTTTATGTTTAATTGTAGCCTAATATTTAATAGTAGCTTGTGCATGAATTTCTACTTGATGGGATATAAACATTTTGAGAAGCTGTAACGTCACATTTCGTTCAAGGTGAGTCTTCAGGTGGGGTTAGCTAAAAATGCGGATATCATTGGTTTAAGCAGGCGAATAGGCCTATACTTCAACGCATAAGACAATAAAGAAACATTAAGCATGCGCTTCACTCGACACTTGTCCTTGTTTTTTCGTTGTAGTGAACTCACAAAGGAAAATTATAACAAACGTGTCTGCAATTTTAATGTACATTTACTGACATTCAGCGACAATTTTGATTTAAAAAAATAGTTATACAAATCTAAATTGAACATAAATGTAGGCCTATATAAAGGTTATATTTCTAAATGTTGATCGATGTGGCTTTTTTCGTCCTCCAAGCAGGATTGGCTTTATGCAGCAGACTCAAAAGCGAAAGTAGAATGTGTTTACCTGCGTCCTTTTAAGATTCTTTTAAACCCTGAGCATCAAAGTGTCTAACAGTATAGGCCTACTTATTTTAGCTGTTTATTTAGGATTTTACATGCAAGTATGAGAAACCAGGAACATTTTGGGAGCCTGTGTTGAGTAGCCAAATGTATTATTTATTTTGTTGTTGAGTAGACAAATATGTCGATGAAGCCGAGTCTTCAGGTGAGGTATAAGGGACTTCCTCATTTGGCCTATCCCTAAAATATTAACTTAATCACTAACATGAATCACTTAACGAAACGTGAAGATCTTGATCATCATATCTTAATTGGCTTTGGTGGACTGATAAAGAACTACTAAAATGCTATATGCTTAAAAATAGCCTACACTTTTTATTACATTTTCGGTAGGATACAGATTGAGAACATTTAGTTTACTTTTAAACGTCGCTCTGGAAACCACATCTAAAACAAAAAGTATAATGTAACCAAAATACGACGTGTAGTTTAAATATCTGGTTTACCAAAAAAAGCCTATAACAATTTTCGCTTTAACGTCTCTCTGTGTGTGTGTGTGTGTGTGTGTGTGGGTGGGTGTGTTTGAATTTACTGGAATGTATTTTAAAATTCACTCTATGAAGAAAACATTTCATCTTAATTGCCATTATCACAAGACATGCCTTCGCAGAGACTGCAAATATAAAACTAGTGTTTTTTTTGTTGTTTTTTTTAGAATATAACTTTTCTTAATGTTGCAGTTTGGTCACTTTTTTAACTCAAATTCTGTGCATCATGTTTTGGTTACAATATTTATTTATTTTCCTTCGTACACTCTAAAAAAATGCTGGGTTGTTTCAACCCAACTTTGGGTCAAAGATGGACTAACCCAGCTGTTGGGTTACATTTTTTTATTAAATTTTTAACCCAAAAGTTGGGTTAGTCCATATTTGACCCAAAGTTGGGTTGAAACAACCCAGCATTTTTTAGAGTGTACTGCAAGGTGTAGTTTTTAGCCTGTATTAAAACATTGTAGGCTACTGTAATCTAACTGCAACAAAATGTAACAACACTGAGCAGCTTGAGTGCCTAAAAGTAAACAGAAAATTGCAGATTCATAAATTTGTATCTTTTGTGTTTTGTATGTCATTTTGTCTCAATCAGTGTTCTTGACTGAGCTCCATGAAGACTGACTGAATCATGGAGGACAAACAAACATTAAAACAAGATATTTCTCCAGAATGCAGGTACATTTAAGTCTTCATATGATCTTAATTTGACAGAAAATACATTGTATGCCCCGTTTACAGGGAGATAGATAGATAGATAGATAGATAGATAGACAGACAGACAGACAGACAGACAGACAGACAGACAGACAGACAGGTAGGTAGATAGGCAGGCAGGCAGGCAGGCAGTTAGTTAGATAGATAGATAGATAGATAGATAGATAGATAGATAGATAGAAAGATGGATATATAGATAGTATCTCTGGACAACATCATCGCTCTTCAACATTTCCTAAGCTTCTTTTGAATAGACAAGATTTTTATATTAAAGATTTATTTCCATGAAAAATCAACTTCATGAATTCTTGTCTCTATTTTGTTATCTATATTCTGTTCTATTGTCTCTATTCTGTTGTCTATATTCTTTTAAAATCAATTCCTTAGGGAGCGATCAAACTCACCGGAGTCCAGCTGTGTGTCTATGAAGAGTGACCGGTCTATGGAGCAGCCAGTACAACTTGAGGGAGGACACACATCAACTGATCTGAGGTACAAGGCAGATCAATTATATATATTTAAGTAACTTTATGTATTATTGTCTCTATTATCTCTGCTCTTGTCTATTATATTACACTCAATTTCACAGTGACAGATCAAACTCACCGGAGCCCAGCTGTGTGTCCATAAAGAGTGACCGGTCTATGGAGCAGCCAGTAGAACTTGAGGGAGGACACACATCAACTGATCTGAGGTACAGAGAGACAACCGACACACAACTAATAAAGCATGCAGGGCAGAATTTGGCAAATTATCAAACTTACAAAATCAAGAAATCAATCAAAATCTGGAAGCAATTAAAACTCAGTGACCTCCACTCATATTATTGTAAGGCTCTGCAGTAGAGTTGAATACAGGATCAGGTTCCTATCTGGTTCAGAGCTTCAGTCCTGATATTTCATTGCTGACCCCCATCACTGATGTTCTTGACGTGGTGGTGGTGAGAAAGCAATCTGACCCAATGGACCAACAAACCAAGCTGTATCGTAATTCGAAATGGCAAATGTGTTATGTAAAAAGCAGCAGTGTCTGATTCTTTGAGTCTTCATCTTAAAATGTTGTGTAATTGCTCTTCTCAGAAACGGTCATTGCAAGAATGCTGTCCAGACAGAGATTTTCATCAGTCCAAATGAATCCAGTGTGATTTCAGGCTTCTTTACACCGTAATTGGTCTAAAATTACTTTAAACAATGGATAATTGGGGCTTCTTGCTTTATTAACTTGACACAGTATTTTAAAAACGTGGCAGTCATATGCAAAATGCTGAAAAAGAAACTAGACTGAGTACCAAAACCCAAACACATCCGTCTAGCACATTTATATAAAAATATAATTTATGGAGTGTAGCGTTAGTTCTGGCAGGTCACGTTAGTCAAGCTCGCATCAGCTGACACTCAACTGATCCACGTCTACCTATAGGAATATGACGCCAAACATAATTCCCTTTATAAGGTCCTTTCAGTCATTATTCAGCAGCTATCGCTTTGCTCAGGAGCTAATCACCCACCTCCATCCCCAGCTCCTCCTCTCGTCCAGTCAGGACTTGGCATTGGATATTTCTTCTTGAGTCAGACCACTGAATTATGTTGATATAAAATAATCACTTAGAACATTGATGATATCTGCTACATTAATCATTAATGTTGGTTCTGTTCAGTTTACCCTAGGGGGGTTATTTATGCTCTCCCTGCTCCTATCCATGCTAGGCTGCATGGATGGGCAGGGAGTGTTGCCCAGAACAGAACCATACCCCCCAACCTAAAATGTATGCTAATTGTAAGTTATCTTTGACGATAGTGGTCCTGGCAGAACTAATACAAGCAGCACAGTGGAATGCAAAATTTGCATTTATTTATTTAGCAGATGCTTCTATCCAAAGCGACATACAAATCACAAGCAATTTGTGTTGGAGCATCAATATTCATAACATGCAGGTTTATTAAAAAAAAGAAAAAAAGAAAAAAAACACTTGCAGAACCAAACTGTTGACAACAACATAATTTTTACTCATACAGACAATGTAAGGGCAATACTGGCTGAAATACAGTAAATGCTGTAAATAACACTGGCTTACTGTAGGTGTCTGGTCCGTTCTTAACAGCGTTGAGAGTTATTGGCCCTTCAGTCATAAGCTGTGGTGTGTGAAAGAACACACCTAAACTTACTAATCAAAAAGTCGAAAGAAATCGATTTGGTGGCGTGCCTATACTGAACCTAGAAAAAGAAATGGAAAAATCAACCCAATGACAGAGAGAAATTAAAAATAGATGCAAACTAGTGCTAAATTGACAAGTAACACAAGTGACATTTATCGATTTATTTGGTGATTTTATGATTTATTTCAAGTGTATTTAATTATTTGATTATCTTTTTAATGACAAATGAATAGTATAATGAATATTTCATTATTTAATTTTGAGTAATTCAGCCCTCCATACATATCCATATGCTATGAGATTGTAGTGACAATGAATTGAGAAATCATTAGTTTAATTTTTTTTATTAAAATGATGCATTGCCACTAGTAAAAATGAAAATGAAGTAATGAATAATTGAGACAAGCTGTTGAACTGTTAAAAAAGAATGCATTATTTTTAAATAATTTAATTTCATCATGGTAACCACACCTCATGGCATCGTTTAGTGTTTAGATTTTATTTCAAGGCATTTGTCAGGTTTTTGTCCTTAAAACAGTCTTGTGCGCGGGACTATATTCCTACTCATCTCATCTCATGGCTCCGTTGCTAATTCCAAAAACGTCATTTTAGAGCTAGTAACAAAGACTTGAGTCACTGATATACAGTTACGAGAGAGAGAGAGAGACCGTATTGCTCTCAGTAGTGTTCAGTAGCAGCAACTGAGCAAGAGATGAAAACATACAGTACAAAGATGTATATATATCTGCTTCAAATCCAGCGGCATTACCACCTAACTTCTGAGAAATGTCATGTAGCTTTTCAATGGCGAAACTGTTTCATCCATAAAGCTGCTAGACAGCGCTGACAACAAGTTTCTGTGGCTACTTTCATATATGTTTCCATGTGTGCGTCTTGTGTGTGTGTAAAGAGGTAGAACCAGAGAAAGACAACGTGCTATAATGAAGGTTAATTTAGTGTGAAAAACATGGAAATAGTTTGTAATATTTATCCTACTGTTTGTCATATTTGTTTTCTTGGTCAGTATCTTTGTGGGTTCTGGTTCTTTTGCTGTTGTAGGCTGTAAGGGCTTTTGAAGTAACTGACATAATTTGCCGGAGTGATAATGTACTGTAATGCAGTCAAGAGCTGCCTGGAACTACTTAAGCTGTGTGTTTCCTAAAAAAAACTGCATTCCCTAGAACAGGGGTCAGCAACCCCTTTTTTTTTTTTGGTTAATGCAGATTATAAAATTAATGTTTTTTTCCAATAACATTTCAATAATAGTAACTTTATTACGTCCATAGACAACTAAAAACAAATATGCAACAAACAATAATTAAGTTGCAATATGGAATTAATTGTGCAATGTGAAGTTGAGTTAAAGCATAAAGGTGAGCATAAATTTTGTGAGTGAGTGAGTGAAGAGCAACGCACAGTGCTACACAGTTCTTACATTGACTGTTTACATGAATTACAAACCAAGACAGGCATTTTGATTGATTTCTGTGTGTGTTTGACAAAGGCTACTTAGACACACGTAGCCAGACCTTCAGACCCACGGCAGAAGATCTGGACTCACTATTTTTTTTGTCCAAGCACTGGCCAAGAGGTCATTTGACCACCATGTAAAGCAACCAATCAAAGTTCATTTTGTTTAGCGTTGTGTTTTGGGGCATGAAAATGTAAAGTTGATGTTCCTACAATAACAGACCGGTGAGCAACTAAATCATTCATTCAAGAATGTCGTGCAAGTTTACTACAACAATGGTGCAATGCCATGAACCTTGCAATTCTTGCATAAGACGGATTTGTTTCCAGGCGGACCTCTAAAGAATGCGATATGCACATCTCCCAGAAATCTTGTAGAATTCAACCAATCAGATGATGACTTCAAAATTCCTTAAGTGTTTCCAGTTTTGTGTGCCATATGCATCAGATGTTCAGTTAGCGGTTCGTGGGTGGCCTGTCTGAGACTGAGACTAAAGGCTACTATGCTTGTCCATGTTCTGCTCGGAGCGTGCACACAGAAAGCATCCTGTTAGCAGTGGATTCAGTTCTTTTTGTGCTTTTAATATTACTTTTTATTATCAAGCATATCCCGCTCTTTACTTTCTAATTCATCCATATTTCTTTACTAATAACCTCTAACAGTCCTTCTGAAAGCTGTGCAAATTATCATATATAAATATGCCACATTTGTAAGACATAAAAGGACTCTGCCACAAAAGGGAAAGTACCTAATGAAATGTTTCAAACAGCAGAGCACCAGTTTCAATAAAAGGATATGTTGCAGTCCAGTCACTTTTTTATATACTTTTCTAGCTATAGTCAACAGCTGTGTTTTATTCACAATAAAGCACAGCTGACCGCTTCACCCAAACGTCCTGTGTCTCACTGTGCAGCATCCTTAGCAACATAAACAATCAAAATACAATCAATATTTGAATAGACAAGATTTTCATATTAAAGATTTATTTCCATGAAAAATCAACTTCATGAATTCTTGTCTCTATTTTGTTATCTATATTCTGTTCTATTGTCTCTATTCTGTTGTCTATATTCTTTTAAAATCAATTCCTTAGGGAGCGATCAAACTCACCGGAGTCCAGCTGTGTGTCCATGAAGAGTGACCGGTCTATGGAGCAGCCAGTACAACTTGAGGGAGGACACACATCAACTGATCTGAGGTACAAGGCAGATCAATTATATATATTAAAGTAACTTTATGAATTCTTGTCTCTATTATCTCTGCTCTTGTCTATTATATTAAACTCAATTTCACAGTGACAGATCAAACTCACCGGAGCCCAGCTGTGTGTCCATAGCTGTTTTTGTAACATGGGAAATATGATTTTCAAAAGACAAGTTGCTATCTAATATAACACCCAGATTTTTGACTGTAGAGGAAGTAACAGTACATCCGTCTAGTTGCAAATTGTAATCCAAGAGATTCTGTGTACTGTCTTTTGGTCCAATAAGTAATATCTCTGTCTTATCAGAATTTAATAGGAGAAAATTATTGGTCATCCAATCTTTTACATTTTTAACACATTCTGTTAGCTTAGATCAGGGGTTTGATCAACCTGTGGGGCGGCACGAGCATAGTTTAATTCAGAGACATTCCCTTGAGGATTTATGAATATGAGTTAGCAAATCTTTAGCCATCCACTAGGGGGCAATCTGACTCCCACTGCTAGTCGACAGTTAGAGCCGAGTTGGCTCGAGTGTCAGTCACGCTTATTGACAGTGTAGTCAAGTGTAGACAGTGTAGGGTGCGAGTGAAATTAGACAAACTTGGGGGGCGCATGTCCTAAAAGGTTATTAACCCCTGGCTTAAATAATTTTGAAGTTTCATCTGGTCTTGTTGAGATATATAGTTGAGTATCATGAGCCTAACAGTGGAAACTAATCCCGTATTTTCTAATAATATTACCAAGGGGCAACATGTATATTGAAAATAGCAGAGGACCTAGGACAGATCCTTGTGGCACTCCATATTTTACTGGTGATAACTGAGATGACTCCCCATTTAAATGAACAAAGTGGTAGCGATCGGACAGGTAGGATCTAAACCATCTTAAAGCCTGCCCTTGAATACCTGTATAGTTTTGTAATCGATCTATGAGTATGTCATGATCTATAGTGTTGAATGCAGTACTAAGATCAAGTAAAATTAGGCCCTTTCTTTCGGAACATGCTTCACAACTCCTTGTTCAAGCTCTTGTTCTGTCCAGGCTGGACTATTGTAATGCTGTCTTGGCAGGTCTTCCAGCCAGTTCTATCAAACCTCTACAATTAATCCAGAATGAGGCAGTCCAAGCAGCTGAGTCCTTAACCATCTTCAAGAATCGGCTAAAAACACATCTCTTCCATATTTATTTGACATTCTAACTCTAGCACTCTCTATATTATATTCTTTATAAAAAGAAAAAAAAAGAAAAAAAACTTGCCCCTTTTAGACTTGCACTCTATTTATTTACTAACTGCTTGTTTTCTTTAAAAAAGAAAACTAACTCTTGCTTCTCTAATCTTTTTGCATTCTATCTATTTGTTTTCTTTTTATTTATTATACAATTATAATTCTGACTTTCTGACTTCTGATTTCTTCTGATTAACAAAAGGAAAAAAGGCCTCTAACACTATCTTGCTCTATTCTTTTTCTATTCTATCTGTTTTCTTTTTATTTATTATATGATTTTAAAAAACTTGCTACATGTACTCCATTAAGCTAACTGAGACTTGTTATAGCACTTGTATATCATTGCTCTTTTGTTGATTTTGATTGCTTCCATTGTCCTCATTTGTAAGTCGCTTTGGATAAAAGTGTCTGCTAAATGACTAAATGTAAATGTAATAATAATGAGTTCTATTTGCTTTTGCCATGTCTGGTGTAGACATGGTTTAGATGAATAGATTAATAGATTAACGCTTGTTTATTTGCTTTACTGTCACTTTTACTTCTTTAATGTTGTAATCTGTTATTTTATTTTCCATTTTTGACTATCAACTGGACCAAAGCACATTCAGATCAAATCTGCTGAAGAAGTTTCAGTGTCTGTATGAAGGAACAGCAACGCAGGGAAACCCAACACTCCTGAATGAGATCTACACAGAGCTCTACATCGCAGAGAGTGAAAGTGGAGAGATCAATAATGAGCACGAGGTGAGACAGATTGAGACACAATCCAGGAAAGCAGCAACAGAGGAAACACCAATCAAATGCAATGACATCTTTAGAGCTTTATCTGGACAAGACAAAGCCAACAGAACTGTGCTGACAAAGGGAGTCGCTGGCATTGGAAAAACAGTCTCTATGCAGAAGTTCATTGTGGACTGGGCTGAAGAGAAAGAGAATCAGGATATCCAGCTCATATTTCCCCTTCCTTTCAGAGAGCTCAACTTGATGAAGAACAAAACACTCAGTCTTTCAGACCTCCTTTGTGTCTTTTTTCCTGAAACAAAACAAATAGAAATATCCAGTGGTGAATATAAAGTGTTGTTCATCTTTGATGGTCTGGACGAGTGTCGTCTGTCTCTGGATTTTCAGAGCAATGTGAGGTTGTGTAAGGTGAGTGAATCGGTCTCAGTGGACGTGCTGCTGACGAACCTCATTATGGGGAATCTGCTTCCCTCTGCTCTCATCTGGATCACCTCCAGACCAGCAGCAGCTGATCTCA